ATGACTCTTTTCTATGAGAGAGATGGACTCGTTGTGTCATATTAAGAAAAATAAAAAAAAGCGTACCCCTAACGGGACACTCTTTTTCAAAAAAAAAACTAATATAAAAGGACGAAGAGAAACAGAGAAGCAAAACGGTCAGCGCACACACTCGACTAGCAAGCAACCACAACATCAAACGGTCGTGTCGTGAAGCAACCAATGCCTAGACTATGTTGTACGTTCGTGTGTACAATGGATTATTACGTCATCTCTCCTGTGCTGTCTGTCTAAACTGCTGCTTGCTCTCTCCACTCACCAACACAAACACTATGAATCAAGGGTGTTCTCCGAGGTTGCTCCAAAAGCCCAGCCCGCTCACGGCTACGGCATACACGGCGCCCGCTGCTCTTGCCGACCACGGACCAAGGCTTGGGTACTCCGACCCAAAAAAGAATGTTCCTCCGGTTATGGTCATGGTGCTGCTGCTGTGTCAAGGAAATGATCAGTCAACGGGGGCCGGCGCAGCACGCAAGAGGGCGTTGGGATACTGCTGCTGCTGCTCTTGTTGCTGCCTGTGCGCTGCACTCATTCGTGAGTTCGTACCTGACCTCGAACAATGCAACCAACGAGATGAGCGGCAAGCAGTTCGAGTTGCAACGAACGACGGTGACAGCCCAGACGTGGGTGCATCTCGCGCATGTGTGTGTATTTATTTTTTCTTGAAAAATGCCGCCGATGCGGGGAACCTCTCTCGCCACGTTGCCTGAGCACATGCACGCATCCAGCTCTACTGCGAAGGAACACACCCCCCGGGAAGGGAGGAGTGCTCACATCTGGAGCCACGCCGCATGCATGTACGTGTGGGCCGTTGAGGCGTGTACAACAGTGCAAGTGAGGCTGTGTTCTTGCCGGAGAGGAGCCGACAGATGGACGAGTTGGCCCTCATCTCTCAAAAATCTGACGACTGATGACGGACGCGTTGCTTCTCTCTCCGGCGGACCCAAAGCCACTGCCAAGCGAAGGACACACGCTGCTACATGCCAGCGTACGTTCTCACCGCCACAGAAGCTCGCCTGAGGCTGTTTGGGGCTGCTCCCGACCGCGCGCTGTTCAGGAGAGGAGTTGTGCAAAGCCCTTTTGCAGAGATGTGTTTTGATTCGATTTTCGGAACGAGGTTTACGTGCCGGTTCAGCAAATTCTCAGAGCGAAGTCCTAAATTCAGACCGAAGCTCAACAATTCCTTGTTCGTCGCAGTCGCGTCATGTCATGTTGGGGGTTTCAGGAGAGGAGTAAGGCTATGCAGCAGCCAGGTGGGGTCAGGAGAGAGGGTCCAGAGCAACGCAGATATCGTGGGACGTGAAGATCGCGGTTCGAGGTTCGACTGTATTTGTGTGCTGAAATGTTCATGGTTGAAAGTTGTGAACGGCATGCGGTCCGCTACCATCAAAGCGGCCAGAGCACAAGGGCAATAACGCCAATGAATGGTCGATTACGCAGCCTGCTGCAGCAGGCAGCATGTGACGACAGCACCGGTGTGACACGTGTTGTCCCATGTCATCGGGACACTGGTTTGGAAAGCATCTCTGGAAATACCGAGTCTTGGGTGCAGCGAAAAGATGCTTGAGCTCCACATCGAGGATGTGAGTTGAGTCTATATTTAAAAACTTCGAAAAATAATGGAGCAAGATGCGTGAGCTCGTGAGCTCTGTGATGGAGTGCGTGTTCACCAAAATAAATTCGAACGAATTCGCCTGATTACGACTATTTGTTATGCTCATGAATCTGGAGTTATTATTATTTTTTGAGTCGTGGAGCCCCACGACTTCATCACGTCACCCCGGCTTACCCTAAGCCAATCTTTGCCCGGGTTCCTCATGCATACACCACACACAGACGTACACCTAGGCAGGCTGTCACACCTCATCTCGCCACCCCTGGTCCCCTTCACGAAAACCCGGTAGGGAGGGCGGGATGGTTTTCCGGCCAATCACCTAGCGGAAGCCCACCCCTGAGCTTTACCTTACACACACGTGATGACCTCTATGGCAGATCGCCCCTTCGTCTCACAGGAGCAGCTGCAGGGCGCACTCTTCTTATTGCTTCTTGCTGCTGCTGCTGAAGATGTACTCCAATACGTCATCGCCACCGTGCTCATCCAATGTCCCGATGAAACTTCCCCGCATTTTCTTGCCTACCTTGCCACTGCTGTACGATTCAATCCCGCGCCACAAACCCCAGACTTCCTTCGTTCAATCCTACACTTTTTGCTCGTGAATCTGGAGTTATTATTGCTTTTCAGTCGTGGACCCCCGACTTGATCACGTCGCCCGGGCTTGCCCCATGTCAAATATTGCCCGGGTTCCTTATGCATATACCACACGCAGACGCAAACCCAGGCAGGCTATCACACCTCATGTCGCTACCCCACTTTAACCCTTTTGTGACCACACCCCTCCTGAGTATCGATAAGAATGTTGTTACTCTTCCTGTCGCACAAGTTTTTCGTCGAAAGTCGCACTGCGAGCGCGGGCTCGACAGCGCGAAAAGATCGCGTTCTCAGAGCAAGTGTGAACGCGGGGACACCAGACAGACAGTTCCCGACGCAACGAACACACGAGCAGCGAAATCCACTGCGGTGCAGATCCGCGAGTGCGCGCCAGACCACACACACACACAGACGCCAGCAGATGCGACGAAGACAACAATGTTCGCCCTGCTGGCGGGTTTTCTCCCCCGCACGATCATGGCTACTGCTGCTGCTGCTGCCGTGTCTGCTGCTGCTCTTCGCCCCGAACTTGAAGTCGAAGTTACGGGGGCGTACACACCCCAAGAGCTCCTGCCCCAAGCCTACCGCCTCGGCCGTGACGCGGCCAACAAGGCGGGGTTTGAGTCCAGTCTTCCCAAGGTGAACTGCGTGGTCAAGAGACGGGAATTCCGCCGCACGTTCACGCCCCCGGGAGAAGCTCAAGCGCACGAGGTTGCCGGAGATGGGGATTGTGCTTACCACGCCTTGCTGAAAGGTCTCCAGGCGAGTCTTGGACAAACGAACATCCGTGTTCTATGAATGTCTGATGGTATGAAGAGTGCCCTCAAACACAGCATCATCTCCCACATCCTAGGACCATCAGCGTCGCAAGCGGTCATGACCACTCTGCTTTCGACTGAGCAGACGCGTCGGGCTCGCGCTCTTCAGTGCACTGAAACTTTCCGGATGCATCCGTATGAGCTGAACACACCTGAACCCGCGGACAAAGGCGTGATGACCTACGGTTGGCTGGATTCGATAGGGCAAGAGAAGCTACGGACGGAGTGGCTGGACTTGTGCTGGCTTTCACTCATCCCGGAAATGTACGAGGGCAACATGGCGGTTTGGGAGCCTAGCGGGAGAGGGTAGTTGGTGCAGCTGTACAAGAAGATCATGTGAGGCCTCTTTCTGTTTGACAAAAAAATCAAGCACGACGAAGAGGGGCATAAGTGGGTGCACCTGTTATACCGCAGCGGGAGTAGTTGG